TGCCATCCCCTTCTCTCCTTCCGCCTTTCCCAGCACCAGGGTCTTCTCCAAGGAGCTCTCTCTTCTCCTTAAGGCAGTGGTTCCCAAACTTGGCAACTTTAAGACTTGTGGACTTCAACTACCAGAATTCTCCAGTGGACTGTTTCTCCAGCTGGCTGGAGAATTCTGGGAGTTGAAGTCAGCAAGTCTTAAAGTTGCCAAGTTTGGGAACCACTGCCTTAAGGAGAAGAGAGAGCTCCTTGGAGAAGACCCTGGTGCTGGGAAAGGCGGAAGGAGAGAAGGGGATGGCAGAGGAGGAGGAGATGGCCAGGTAGGGTCATCGACCCAATAAGCGTGAATTTGGGGAAACTCCGGGAGGCAGAGGAGGGGGGGGGGGCTGGCATGCTGTGGTCCATGGGCCACAAAGAACTGGATATGACTTAGCAACTGAATGACAATCACAACAAGAGAGCCACGGTTAGTTTTTAAGCTTCGCTGAATGCAGGATTCATTTAAATGCCACCTTTTAAAAAATAACAATTATTGAGTTTTCAGTTAACTCATTTTTGACAGCTTTTTAAATTCTGGCAAGTTTCACAGCCACATTCATTCATTCGTACAGTCTCCTTTCAAAAACCTCAATATCAACCTTGTCTCAAAGCTGGCTCTGGATCCTGTTTGCATTTTATTAAATTGAGGAGGGAATCAAAAGAATTCCGCCAGGAACGTTCTGCTGAATTTTCAATTTAGCATTTCTGCCCAGAAATTTAAATGCAAAGCCGTCTGATGAAAAAAAAAGAGGCACTTTTAAAATATTGGGGGACAGGGAGAAATAGAAGTAGAAATAATGCCTCCTATTAGGGTCGTGATAATGAAAAGCAAATTATGGAATTTGTGGTCCTCTAAGAAGAAGCCTTTAGGCTCAAAGTGTAAAAAAAACAAAACAGAATTTAAGGCCAGTTCCACAAATTATTCCAAATTAACCCAAGAGATGTTTTCTTCCATCTAGTTAGCTAGCTAATGGAGAAAGAAATTAAACTTTACCATATATGGAAGCAGAGCCAGAATGCCACAAAGCCATTTTCTCCCTGCTGGGCTCATGTAAGGATGTAAAACAGAGAAATGAGGAAGGGGGCTGTGGGGTTCTCCTCAGAGGGGGGTCTCAGGCGATGCTCACTGGAGGGAATAAGTGCTCCTGGCGCTAAAGCCTTGGAGCTTGGGCCGAACCGCAAACTTCAACGCTCTGACATCAATAACCGAGAGGCATTGGGGCAAATGCTTCGCCCCTTTCAGGTGCCCTGGGACGGCCTCGTGCCAGGGGAGACCTTTGGGGGGAGGATCTGCTGTTCTATGACAAGATACCTTCAGTGGAGAAATGTGGAAGTGCTCAAAGAAACTAAGGGTGGATACGTCCGTCAAGGAGGATTCCATCAACTCCGTGTTAAGAGCATCGATATCTTTCTGTATCAACCCGGTCTGTTAAAACAGAAATAAGTCGGAACAGGTATCCTCAATTGGGTTCAAGCACAAACATTGCACATTTTCACATCTGTTTANCTGAACTGCAGATAGCAGTTCAGCTGAAGTGGCCTGCAGTACTGCACCCTAACCACTGCGCCACCTCGGCTCATTCTCTGTGAGAATTATCTCCAGTTCACTTACCTTCTACAGGTTTTGTGACCATCCCAGTTACTCCGCCAACAACTCCCTTAAAGAAAACGGGGGGGGGGGGGAGAGATGGTGCAGCAAGTTAGGATGGCAAAGTTTCCCATTCATTTCGCCCCAACCCTCCACTTTTGGGGGAAATTTTGAGTTCACGGCTAAAACGGGTTCAGCCTACTCAAACTTTCATCTGAAGACAATTCATCAGAACCAGAAATTCTGATAATAAAGGCAGCTAAGACACAGGGCCCAGCCTGTGAGAAACAAGACTATATTCCACTTTTCATTACTTCCCAAAGTAACTTGGGAAAATAGCGGGTCATAGTAGCTATGAGAAGGTTGCGTGTCAATTCTAGGAATTCCTCAGCATGAATCCAGCCTTCCTGGCTGGAATCGGCCTAAACCCCAGAGAGCAGATGGATCAAAACCTCTGCGTGGCAGGAGATTATCCAAGAACCGGCTGTAACTTTTGCCAGGTTCTGGGCCAGAAGAAGCTAAACAAGGCCTAGGAATTCCAACCCAGCTTCCTCTTTCTGACCTCTTTCGAAAACTCTGCTCCATAGAAAAAATTGCCAAACGCTGCAGGGTCAAAAATCCTCATTGCATTCTACATCATTGCTACTTGCTCCTGAAAAGGGCCCCCCTGAAGGTACCCAGGGATCCCCAGCTTGCTCTCTGGGGAAACTCATCCCCCACCTTCGAGCGGGCTCTCCCGCCCCCCTCACCCACGCAGGCACAAAGGACACAGCGAGGGAGGGTACACCTTGTTCCCAAAATGTCTAGGAAACACTTGAAAACGATATCAAAACAAAACAACAAAACAACATCAAAACACAATGTTACTGCATATAATTAATAGTCCTTTTTCTGTTGTTCTGGTTTCTGTTTTCTGTTTTACTCACTAGCAGGAGAAAATGAAACACACCCGAAACACAACAAACACAGATCGGAGGTGGGGTTCCTTTCATACAGTAGGGCTGTCCAGACTTGGGAACTTTTAAGACTTGTGGATGTCAACTCCCAGAATTCCCCAGCCAGCCCACAAGTCTTAAAGTTCCCAATTTGGACCGCCCTGCAGTCGAGGGTAATAGCAATAGCAGTAGACTTATATACCGCTTCATAGGACTTTCAGCCCTCTCTAAGCGGTTTACAGAGAGTCAGCATATTGCCCCCAACAATCT